TCAAATTTTAAAGATTTAACAGACCTGAATTCTAATACGTAAAATGAGTTATACTATCCATCATCGTTTAGAATTTAAATCAGCCGTATAAGGAGAATAACGAGCCGATTCAGACTTTCATAAATATTCGTTATAATATTAAAGAACATAAAGGGGACCGGAAAGGAAAAAAAAAAGACTCTGTATCTTATGAAAGGTTTTTTAATACGTAATGTTGGAAACACGATTATACACTCTACTAAAAAAATATACTTCGATGATCGAATTTTAAAATCAAAGTGACGCCAAACGAACAGGTTTCAGTTTTCTTTTATTACATACCGGACATACGCTATGACTGATTACCACTGGTGAAAATATGCATCTTTGTTTATATTACTTGAAAATGAGCCCTAAATATATCTTATCTTAATATGTATATTTTAGTACATACTTACAGCTAATGGCTTGGCGTGGTTAAGTGTTTAACATGCTCAGACTGTGAATCCGAGGGTTCATGGTTCGCAGCTTGTTACATAATTACGTTCTTCGCACTTTGAGGTCGTAGGCATGGTATAAGAATAACGGTCAAATCCCCCTATTCGGTCATAGAAGAGCTTGTGAAATGGAAACGGCTGCTGTTGACTAGCCTCTTTCTTCTAGTATATCATTTCAAAATTTGAGAATACAAAGCATAGATAGGCATTTGTGTGTAGCTTTGCTCGAAACTTCTGGAATACACAACTAATTTTAGGGCGAAACGTAATCTTATGGTCTCATAAATATAAACTACGATATATTCATGTTCACAAGAAATGGAAGTGTTTTTGTTCTTAAGATATAAATGTACCTTTGAATTATCCATCAAGTGTGAGAAAAAGTTAAACATTGTGTCAAATAACAAAATAAAGTATATAAAGTGGTAAGTTGATTTTTGTCTGGCCTGTTTTACAATATAATAAATTACAATTACAGTAGATTGATATTTATAGCCAAGTGTGTTTATCTCGTTACTGTTGACTTTAGACAAAACAAAACAGATGAACTGCAGGTTACGAAAACGTTACTGACACCCAGATGGTTAAATTTTAACTGCTTATTGTAAACAATGATGACAACGGGAGAATAAAAGCTACATAAGAAGAGTAACTAATTTACTCTTTACCATAGATAATGATTACACTATATGGAAAACTGGTGCTATTTGCTTTAGACAGTAGTTGCAAGTGATAGATAATTGATGAACAAGTGCTTTAGACAATAGTTGTTACTGCCCTCTACTTTCTACAATGATTATGGAAAGTTAATTCCTTGGATTACTTGCCGATACTTATTTTATGCAATTGTTACAAAAGCTGGATCCTTTCCTGTTCTTTTCTCTATACAATGGTTAGGAACTTCAATTCCTTGTTTCTTTTCATTTTACAATAATCAAAGGTGTTGGATTTCTAATTACTCTTTTCATTGTACAATAATCACAGGTGTCGGATTTCTAATTACTCTTTTCATTGTACAATAATCAAAGGTGTTGGATTTCTAATTACTCTTTTCATTGTACAATAATCACAGGTGTCGGATTTCTAATTACTCTTTTCATTGTACAATAATCACAAGTGTTGGATTTCTAATTACTCTTTTCATTGTACAATAATCACAGGTGTTGGATTTCTAATTACTCTTTTCATTGTACAATAATCACAAGTGTTGGATTTCTAATTACTCTTTTCATTATACAATAATCACAAGTGTTGGATTTCTAATTACTCTTTTCATTATACAATAATCACAATTGTTGGATTTCTAATTACTCTTTTCATTGCACAATAATCACAAGTGTTGGATTTCTAATTACTCTTTTCATTTTACAATAATCACAAGTGTTGGATTTCTAATTACTCTTTTCATTGTACAATAATCACAGGTGTTGGATTTCTAATTACTCTTTTCATTATACAATAATCACAGGTGTTGGATTTCTAATTACTCTTTTCATTGTACAATAATCACAGGTGTTGGATTTCTAATTACTCTTTTCATTGCACAATAATCACAGGTGTTGGATTTCTAATTACTCTTTTCATTATACAATAATCACAAGTGTTGGATTTCTAATTACTCTTTTCATTATACAATAATCACAATTGTTGGATTTCTAATTACTCTTTTCATTGCACAATAATCACAAGTGTTGGATTTCTAATTACTCTTTTCATTTTACAATAATCACAAGTGTTGGATTTCTAATTACTCTTTTCATTGCACAATAATCACAAGTGTTGGATTTCTAATTACTCTTTTCATTGTACAATAATCACAGGTGTTGGATTTCTAATTACTCTTTTCATTGTACAATAATCACAGGTGTTGGATTTCTAATTACTCTTTTCATTATACAATAATCACAATTGTTGGATTTCTAATTACTCTTTTCATTATACAATAATCACAAGTGTTGGATTTCTAATTACTTTTTTCTTTATACAATAATCACAGGTGTCGGATTTCTAATTACTTTTTTCTTTATACACTACAGAACTTTGATTCATTTTTGTTCTTTATGCATGTATTACATAAATTAGATTCCTTACTGTTCCTTTCTTTCTATAATGACTACAGGAGTTGGATTGCTTCATTAGTTTATAAATGAAATATGATAAAATAAAATTAAAATCAATTATTTTGTAACATTTATTTTTTATCTGGCTGCAAAAACAATAAACCGTATTTTTTCTTTCCTTATTTCTTCAGATTCTACTGGGATTTATGTATGCTGTTCTTTCTAGTTGCAAACCTAATTGTCTTACCAGTGGCCATTTCCTTTTTCAACGACGACCTGTCAGCAAGGTGGATTGCATTCAACTGTCTATCAGACACCATTTTTCTTTTAGATATTGTAGTAAACTTTAGAACAGGTAAATAAGTATGAATATTTGTTCACAGGTTAAGCTTTTTATTGCTAGGTTCGCCTTTAGAATATTACAATTTCAATTTACAAGCAATTTCTTTCATCAAGGAGAAACACCAGAATGGTAACAACGTATAAAGCAGCACATTCATCAAATTCAATTACCCATAACGTGTGATTTGTAGATGTTAAGATAATAAAATACCATTCATAACAAATTGATAGTTAGGGATCTGGATTTCAGATATGACAAGCCGTATTCGAATTCATACAATACTACAAATTATTCCCCACACCTTAAGATCTGAGTGTACTGAGTATTGAGGTACTGCTGACTGGCTGCCTTCTTACTCAGTAGTTCAGAATCAGGGAGCGTGGCAGACAACCTTAAAAGCTTTGCCATAAATACAAGATATAAATAAGTTTGAGTTTGGTATCAGATCAATGAAAACCTTTCTTGTTCTTTAAATCTGACAACAATTTGTCTCAATTACGATATGAGATATCATGGTTGACATCAGTTGATGTATTACTGCTCCTTGGAAAATCTGCTTTGATAAATTGTTAAATGTGGTAGACTGAAAAAGGCGATATCTCATGACAGTGTTATCATCATAAAAAATTTTGATCAGTAGTTATCGCTTTTACATTGATTACAAAAACACGTTCTATGAACTCAGACAAGTTAAACAATTGCCAGATAAGCTGGTATCAGTCTCGAGAAAATGTATTGTTTATTTTTAACAAACTCTATCTCAAACCTTTGCTATTGTTCAAAATTATAATTTTACAGCTAAGCGAAATCTAGAGACACAATTTTTTTCTCCAGAATCTACAAGATAGGGAACTAAGTAATGGTCATCACTAGTAGTCTCATAGAACGATTGATGTTTTTCTTATATAAACACATGGTAAAAATTAAATAAAAGTTAGTAGTTATGCCAGCACTATAGGGCACCACACACCTGTCGGACTCAGGGAGGTAGATGATGCCTAACAACGCGCCCTCTGGTGACAATTTATGGCATGCCGCGCGGGTACTGGTCTAACTACTAGCGTTAGATTGAAAAGTAGAAGGAAAATGTTTTGCAAGAGCTACCTTCACTCTTAGATTCCCGTAAGTGATGATGGAGGAAGACTGCACTTTTCTGGTGAATATATAATCATGTTTGTGGTTAATTCTGTATCATTTTCATCATTTATTCGCTATAACCTACTGAAAAAATAAAAAATGGCATTATTAAGTATATCAAAATGTATAACAATATGTTTATATCTAGTCTAATAAGATTGTGACAGATTAAAACTAGATGGAAGTGTCAAAAACAAGGCAATTTAAGTATATATTTAAGTAAAGTATGTTTTAAATCAATAACATGTGTATAGTAGTTTCTGTTTTTATTTATGAAAGCAGGATAAAACACTGCGTCAATAACATCATGGCACAGCTGTGACTTCCTTGGATTATAAATCTTAGACCAGCTCTTTAGAAGAGACACACATCGTTAAATCAGATTCCATAAAATTTTGTGGTCTTACAATTGTGTGGCTTACTTCTTTCTGAACTGCACTGGTACGACATCCAGAATTGAACCAGTACGACAAAGTCAACAGAGTTTGTTTCTATGATGTCCTAAACTTTTATCAGTTCAGTGGACTCGTTTTTTTTTATATCTCAGTTGATAAGGGGAATTCAAAGTTATATATATATATGTATCATCAAAAATATCTTAACTTATTTATGAATATTAAATCTCATTTAACCTTGATATCACTACTAAATCAGTTTCATTTTTTGTACTGAATTGACCTTGATGTCGGTTCAAAGTGAACCTTGATTTTCCTACTGAGTCAACTTCGATGTCCGTGATGAATTGATCTTGATTCTCATACTGAGTAAATTTTGCTATCCATGCTGAATTAACTTTAATTCAACATGTTCAGGGAACTTTGATGTCTGTGCTGAATTAACCTTGATTCAACATGTTGAGTGAACTTTGATGCCTGTGCTGAATTAACCTTGATTCAACATGTTGAGTGAACTTTGATGCCTGCGCTGAATTAACCTTGACGCCCGTTCTTCTTACTATTAAACGGGTAAAAAGTATTAAAGAACTTGCAGAGAAGGGAAATAGAAAGAAACAAAGTTAATAGCTCTCGATGATGCAGGAGAGGTTCTGTCCTTGTTTCACATATACTTTTTAACATAGCATATATCACAACCTGAGTATATTTTTCTTAATTCGGCAATTGCATTCTTTGTGGGATAAACATGGCGTTGCTAAGTCTTCACTGGTATAATAGAAAATGTGTACTATTTGAAAAAAAATAACATTCGATTCTATGAAACATCTACACTGCCAAATAATCCCTGTCTATAAACATGGACGAGAGTTAGTAAATTACTTATCTTTCATTTCAGAGCTTACATTACAATGGTGAGCCACAAAGGGCTATCTGTGCTCTGCCCACCATGGGTATCGAAACCCAGTTTGTAGCAGACATACCGCTATGCCACTGGGGGGGGGGGCAATTGAGAGTTTGCCACTATAATCTTTAACGTTCTCTGAGAACCACAGTGTGAATTTTGATTTCAATACAGATTTCATTATCTAAAAACTGCACTTAACCAAAGATCAAAATTAAATGATTTAACTGAACTGTTAATTGTGTATAAACGTTGTAGCTACTTTAGTTACAGATAATTTTTGCAATTTTTATCAGATCTTTAGTTTGTAATGTATTTGTTTAGTGTACTTTTTTTCTACTTTCTACCAGGAAGAATTCTCTATATTTTATTCTCGTTTGGAAACGAAAGACTGAGAAAAAAGTCTTCTGCTGAAAGACTTTTTTGGTGTTTTTGTTTAGTTTTGCTTACAGAACAGATTATGAAAGAGCAAAAAAAAATAAGAGAGGAAGTAGAAAAATGGTCTTGCAGAGTGCAATATCGCTCTAAATTTAAAGTTAGAAACAAGCAGCATGCGGGTCCAACTTTTATTTATTACCAGACAGAGTAAAAAGTAAGCTCAATGACTTGCGTCTCCCTTCATTCTGTAGTAGCTCCAAATTTCCGCGAATTTAGCTTAGAGTGAAAGTCGATATTACATTTAAACACACAACGCAAGAGATCTGTTTTATTCCAATCAGCTTGGAATAGACGATATTTAGTTCCCCAAAACGATGTTTTTTGTTCCTCCACTTATCATCTTAATTGGTACAAGTGATTTTTTTATCTTGTCACTTTCCTCTTTTAATAATCTGCTCTTGTACAGGCAATTTTTATGTCATCACTTTCAGCTTAAATGATAAGTTACGGCACAGATCGTGTATGTATATATACATAACAAGGATAGTTCACGATAGATATATATTGTATGTACGACTTGACATAATTCGCAACGTGGTAGGTTCTAAAAACCCTCTGAAGTAATGTATAAAACAAGATTAAATGTCTGTTATAAAAATAATATTATAGAAGAGCTGACTGAACGGAAACTGCATCGATACTTGCTAAAGAATCATTTCGATACTTAAGGGGGGGGGGGATCTCGACATCTTGATCAAAGGTAGAAATAACTAGTGTAATATTACATTCAAACTGAAACAAGTGAATTCAGATATTTTTGATCCTTTCAAAGTTAAACTCGTTAATTATAGAATTTTATACAATTATTATAAAGTTCAGTTAAATCAAAATATCTTATATTATAAAAAGTAAATATAATAATCATGCTATAAAACAGGGAATAATCATATCATGTCATATAATTAACAGCTGAAAGGATATCTGATCCATTTTCATCTCAGAAAATATAAACAAAACTAATGTTCCTTTGTGTGTATGTGTGTACAGTTTATATGAAAACTATCTTTTCTAACCTTATGTTGATGTTGTTTTTTTTAGGAATAATGAACCATGACAACTCGGAGCAAGTGATTCTGGATCCTAAGCTCATTGCTAGGTATTATATTCGCACCTGGTTTTTTCTGGACCTCATTAGTTCTATTCCCTTAGACTATATTTTCCTCATATTTAACCAGGACTATAGTGACAACTTTCAACTGCTACACGCTGGCCGGGCCTTGCGAATTCTGCGATTAGCCAAGATGTTGAGTTTGCTGAGACTATTACGAGTGTCAAGACTGGTACGATACGTGAGCCAATGGGAAGAAGTATATGTAAGTTTATATAATAATGATTTGTGGGAAAATTATGTTAGAATTTACCAAAGAAAACTAAATACGATACAAGTATATTAACAGAGTGTATATGCTTAGTGTGCATAAAGTTTTAATTTCCTCATTCTGTCGATATTTGAAAACAATTTTATAATTACACTCTATAAAATAGTAATCCAATCGATTCTATAAAACATTAACCCCGTATGAGTAAATAATTTAAAAAGGTTCCTGCACAATAACACTTATTATTAATGTTTGTTTTGAAGTTAAGCACAAAGCTACACAATGGACTATCTGTGCTCTGCCCACCACGGGTATCGAAACCCGGTTTCTGTGCCACATTTTTGCACTAGAAATTAAATATTAAAATCAAACTTCCCTGTTATTAAAATGCAGTCTGGTTGGAAGTCTTAGATAATAAGATGAATGAAATAACTTTTTTCGAAGTTATGTAAAAGTTATTGTCACCGTTTCGTGTAAAAATGTTGAAAATATCCGTAATCCTTTGTTTGTTTTAGAGCAAAGGCACAGTGGGCTATCTGTTGTGTCCATCGCGCGAAATGGAATCTCAGATTTTAGCGCTATAAATCCATAGACTTACCGTTGTTCCACCGAGTAACAACCTGTTTTGTTTTTATGTGTGGAATTGGGTTTTATAGGATTAGAGTGTGTGTCAATAAGTGAATGTAAACGTTTTTTATAACAACTTGTATTTCTGGTTTTGACTAACTTTAACAAGAATTATACTTTAGATAGGTGTTTAATTATAACTGACTCTCAGAGTCAATAAAATCAGTAGTTACAATAATTGTGTTGAAAACAGGTATAGGATATAAGACCACACTATGTAGAAGTGAATAAGCAACAATTTACATATAAATACATGACTGATCATGAGGTACCTGATTTGTTTAACAATGAACAAATGAGATGATTATCACAATTCTATAAATTCTATCGCAATTCTATTGCCTTTTTATACTAAGAATATTAAAGTTTTGATTATCACACACACACACATATATACTAATCAGCTAAATTAGGGATTAAATTATTGATGAATGTGAAATTAATTATCTTCTTCGGGTAAAAAGATGGCATACTAACCAATGAGCATGGAACTGCTCTAAAGCGGTCTCAGACACTTAGTTTGGGAGTGTCTGTGCTTAAAACATGGCCCAGCTCTCAGACATTATATTTGGACTTTAATATTGAATATAGCCGTCTCAAGCAGCCAACAAAGCCAACATTGCTGTTATAAACTGAACTGCATCTTATTCGACACAAGATCTGAATAGCCACTTATGCAGCTACTGTTAACCGATTGACTCTACAAGAGTTTCTCTAACAGGCAGTTGCCGTCAACTTCACAGTCAACTTAACATTTATAGGCAAATTAATAATTTCGTTTTTGTTAAGTCCTTTTTTAAACTTTTTTTGCCCTGTTCACATTTTAGCTCTGGATGAGCGGGTCATAAAACGGCTCCGTTTTTTTTTTTTTTTTTCTAAGTACAAACATTTATCTCATAGCTCCGTCATCTCTTGACCGATTTGAGATCTAAATACAGTTGTCGACTCAGGAGGTCAAACCATTTCGATTGATATATTTGACCACGTCCAAGGCCTTATAGATTAATTTACTCTAATTCTGCTTAAAATAATTTCAATTTTAAGGTAGGCTGGTAGAAATCCTGATGAGTAGTAAAAATGAATCGGATATACGCGCGCCCCACTCTTGGTATTGCTGGCGCACAAAAATGTAGCTAATAAAAAAAAAGGGAAACAAAGATCTTATAGATTAATTTATTCTAATCCTGCCTAAATGAATTTCAAGTACCACGGCTATTGAGGAAGGCCCGGCATGGCCAGGTGGTTAGAGTGCTCGACTCGCAATCTGCGAGTCGCGGGTTCGAATCCCCGTCCCACCAAACATGCTCGCCCTTTCAGCCGTGGGGGCATTGTAATGTGACGGTCAATCCCACCATTCGTTGGTAAAAGAGTAGCCCAAGAGTTGGCGGTGGTGGTGATGACTAGCTGCCTTCCCTCTAGTCTTACACTGCTAAATTAGGGACGGCTAGCGCAGATAGCCCTAATGTAGCTTTGCGCGAAATTAAAAAAAAACAAAAACAAAACAAACACTGTCAAAGTAGGGACGGCTAGCGCAGATAGCCCTCGTGTAGCTTTGCGCGAAATTAAAAAGATAAACAAACAAACAAGATATTGAGGATTCCCTCTTGTTTAGTATATGTGATTTTAATAGTTGTCAAAAACAAATTATTACACCTTTGCACAAAAGCAAGATAGAAAGCATATATCTTCCTTCGAATAATTATTTATTTAGTTTCTATGAGAATCCAGTTCTTGTGTGCAAGCCACTCAAGATTACAAGGGGGGAGGGTATTTTTTGAGGATAAGAGACCACGTGATCTGTGATTTATACTTAAATAATGTGATATTATAAATAGATGTGCGCAGCCAGAGGGCAAATAGGTCCACAGCGTGCAGCTGAAGGGGTGGACGATGATATCATCTAGGCAGAGTAACGTCAATTATTTTGTTATTTAGTTCGCAAGCGAACCACCAGAGGGTGTTGCCGTTCTTGTCTTAACATGGTTGTCAAGTTGTGTCATGTTATACTAAATAAGAAATAACTACTATTTCTTAACACCATATTAGTTCTGTATTATCATTATGGTTAAGTTTTTATCTGAGATCAGCGATTCTGAACGTTGGGCGCACACCCCATAGGGGGACAATTTGAAAATGCTACAATAAGAAAAAAAATTCAAGACATCAATTTTTTTGAGGTGTCGAGGTGGGGGCATGGAGCAAAAAAAGGTTAAGAACCACTGCCTTAGATATTCACTGCGATATTCATTTATTCAATAATAACCCAAAGAGTTTGACTATGTAAAATTAATATTTCATGTTTCTTTTATACAGTTTGACTAAATGTAATAACGTATTTCATGATTTACTTCGTGATAACATTCAATCTCTAGATATGTTCGTCTGAATCGTGTAAACCAAAAGTAATAGAATATTTACCAACTAAAAATAGGCAGCATTACTGTTGTATTCATTTTGTCATTACCTATATATGTAACCCTGTTTTCATGCATAAGTCCCATTTTGTCTGATTTTATCCATAATTTATTAAAACGTATAGGAAAATTTTGCTCCAACTAAATATTGTGGATTTCGTAACTCTGATATTATGCTTCGTCAAACGGTTTTCTGAATGCATTACATACTGTAGATCAAATTCAATCACATAAGTAAACTACAGTTAACTAGAGTTTGGACGTTTTATGCATAAATGAAAAAGCAATATTTTTTAGGACTACTCAGATTGTAAGTTTAACTGGTGTATGGACGATCACCTGAATATTATGCATAAGATAAACAAATAGAGTTTGAATGTTTTATGTATAAATTTATATGGAAAATTGATCGTAACTTAAATTAATATTTTTATGATCATATGAACATGTCATGAAGTACGCTATACAAACTCGATGAAACTAAATATTAATTTTACTTATTCAAACATTTTACTTGTTATTGCTCAATAATGATGAATTCAATACACAATCGTACTGTACGTTTTCGTTTCGACGTACAATTAGTTGATTTCTTTATATGATATAAGCCTATAGTTTAATGTCTTAAGCTAACATGGAAACAGTTCTCTACGTAGAGCGTGAGTTAAACTAATGTATGGATACATTATATGAGTAAGTTATAAAGTACGTTATTACATTTAGTCAAACTTTAATAGTTGAAACATAAGATATAAATTTTGCACATTTAAACGCTTTGCTTATTATCGAATTAAAGATATATTGAAGCGAAAATATAAAGTAAAACGTTGACCATACCGATAATACAGAACTAATATCGTGTTAAGAACTATAGAAAATGCAGAGGTAGCTATTTTTCATTTAATATAATATGACACAACTGGACAGTAATGCTCAGACAGGATTAGCAACACCCTCTGGTGATTCGATTGCGAATCACATAACAAAACATCTGCCTGTACAATTAGCCGCACCGATGAAGACATTCCTTATTTTTGTCAGTCTTTATAGGTGAACTTAGCTTCCTCCCCTGGCGGCACACTATTGAACTACTCACCTAGGAAGTCAGTCTGTGCAACTATGACTCTGGAGCTGGGAGAATTGATCGATTAAAAAATTAGTGGCTCGTAAACTAATCGAAATTATGACTAGTCAATTAAAGTCACAAAAATAATCAATTAATTGAAATTAGTGTCTCTGATTATTATTATTTCTTTCGATTATTCCAACAATATATCAAAGTAGAATTACGATTAAATCAATTGTCACGAAAATAATCAACTAATCGAAATTAGGGTTTCCAGTTATCTATTGTTTTTGATTTTCACAACTGTCCAAGTAGTACAAATATTACTATTATGTTTGTCGTTAAGCACAAAAATATATAAATAGGGGGGAAGGGTGTCTCGTGATTTGAGGGTCTCGGCTTTGATTCACATTGTTACTAAACTTGCTCGCCCTGTCTTTTTTATTGCAATGCCACTATGGCTCTTTATTTGGCACTGGTAAAGACAACTGGCTATCAGCACCCACCACCAACCCCCTGGCTACTTCAGTGTTAAAGTGTTAATTTGCTGTTTTTTATATCTAGTGATATTTCTAATTCATAATTGAGTAACTGTATTATTTTAATGTTGTATAAGCAGGCGCGGATCTAGAGAATGGTTTATGAGATCTGTATCCCCTCCATTTCTTCAAGAATTAATAACTGTATTTTTATATGTTATATGAACAGGTGTGGATCTAGAAGATCCAAGGGCCGATCCACCTCCGCAAATGTTTTTCAAATATAAATAATTGTATTATTGGATGTTGTATAAGGAGGCACTGATTTCGAAGAGAAAGGGGTCTAAGGATTCTGGCACCTTTATTCAGGAATGAATAACTGTATTATTTAATGTTCTATAAGCAGCC